GAAAGAGCTTTAAAAAATAATTGCTGATTAGAAATGGCCTACGAGGTTTGATGCACCGAACGGCGTAATTTTGAACCCAATAGACTTGTCATATTTCAGCCATGATACAGTGAATCCGAATCCGACGCAAGCGTAGGACAAAGCTGAATTTCTCCAGTACAGTACGTATGTATATGTATCATGTGTAGGGTTTTCTATTCAAGATGCAAAGAAAATTCTTCGTTTTGGGTGAACTTTCTTCCTAACACTGAGAAAAGGGTACGGTTTTCGCCATTAATCGGTTAACGGGATTAGCCGTTCCCTGAAAGTACGGAGTTTACCGTAGCTTGTACACTGCATTGTAAAGATGTAGCCATGGATTCAATTTCAAGGGGTTTAAGTGAGTTTTTTTTAATTGTCGAGATTGACTGCTGTGAAGAAATGGGTGAGAAAATTAACGGCAAAAACCGTACATTTTCCTCACAGTGAACTTGTGACATTTAGGGCATAGCGCTGCGTAACGCGCGTGTGTGAGTACGCGCGCGCATGCATGTGTGAGTCGGGCACTGTGGCTGTGGCCAAAAGCAACAGAAAATTCTGTCAATAGCTTGTGGTAATTCTCCGTTGAGTCCGTCTGGACTATGGGCTTACCTCACCGCCTACACTTGGAGTAATACTCCAAGTATTACTCCAAGGCATACACCTTCAGCCGCGCTCCGTACTTCCGGTGTAGGAGTCCGGAAGCGACCGTGGCAGTGTAAAGGTGGAGGGGTGCGGTAATGGGTACTCTGAAGCATGCTTTTGGGGTGTTACGCAGTTACGCTGGCCCGGCCCCGCCCCTCCCACGGGTTCACGAACTTACTTTGCAGAAAGGTTGGCGATATCGCCGGTCGATGCCCACGTGTTCTGGTAACGAAATCAAGCTTTCTCCTCGCATAGAAACGACGCACCTCTGTAGCTACACTGAGAATGAATTGGTCACCACCATCACCCTTTATATGGGTGATGCAACTTCGTTCCCCAAAATTTTTGCTGATGAAAATTTATCACCCAAAAATTTGGGGAACAGGCGTTTGGTCGCCCAAATTTGGGTAACGCTTGGCGACGCCGTGAGGTTCCCGATGGCGTCCTTCCCGGGGCCCCCCGATGACCGGAGGCCTCAACGCCACATTGGGTCATCGTGGTGCCCCGGAAGGCGTCATCGGGGACCTTACGGCGTCCGACTGCGTTACCCAAATTTGGGCGACGATTTTCTGACTGCCCAAAATTTGGTCACCGCGGGCTCGTCACCCAAATTTGGGCAACGGTGCATGCGTTACCCAATGAAAGGGCGATGGGGGTGACTCTTTCATTCTCAGTGTATGGTTGAGTCGGCAGCAATTTTGCGTAATCCTTACGGTTGATGTACACTGTTGCGAACACCACGTCAAAAAAACAGTGAAGACCTGTTGATCCCGCGCCCGCGCAGTGCGTGCTCTGAGTCAGTGAACCCGTGGGAGGGGCGGGGCCAGGCCAGCGTAACTGCTGGTAACTGCATAACACTGCAAAGGCGTGCTTCAGACAGCTCGTTACCGCACCCCTCCACCCTGACATCGCCGCGGTCGCTTCCGGACTCCTACACTGGAAGTACGGAGCGCGGCGGAAGGTGTAGGCGGTGAGGTAAGCCTAGTCCTGCACTGTTCGCTGCACGGACTTTGTCCTACGCTTGCGTCGGACTCGGATTCACTGTAACGAGCTGTATTTTGGCTGACATATGAACGCCGTTCGCTGCCTCAAACCTCGTAGGCCATTTCTAATAGACCATTTCGCTGGATCCACTTCGATCCCTCAAAAAAACAAATGCCCGGAAGCGGGTACCGTGGGCCAATCAGGACCCTCCTTTCATCAGTGGTAGCCCCCTAGCCTTGATGAAAGGAGGCTTCTGTTTGGCCGACGCTACCCGACTTCCGGTGCATTTGTTTTCTCGAGGGATCGAAGTGGATCCAGCGAAATAGTCTATCGGCATTTATTTTTAACGCTCTTTCATTATTTTTCAGTTCAGACGAGGGTTTGATTGTTACTTCCGTTGGCACGTCTTGCTTCCGGTCCGTGGCAGCGCCGGAGTTTAGAACCCCATTTGAGACTTCGCATCTCGCAGCAGAATGCCCCCCAAGAAGAGAGCGCAGACGAGCCCTGCCGGCGACGCCAGCAAGAGGTCTAAGCAGGGAAGCAGTCCGTCTCAGCGGCGAGAAGGATCTCCTACTGACAGGTACGGTTGCGAACACGCTAAATGTTCATGTTCGATTTTGTACGTGGAGACACACTAAATGTCATGGGACTTGTTATGTCCCATGAACGATGCAATATTAGGCAAATCCGGTGGAGATACAATTTTGTGGCCGCCACACTGTAAAAAACTCCGTACTTTTGTACGGAAATGGTACTGAAAAATATAGTACGGAGGTACGGAGAAAAGTACGGAACGTTCCGTACTTGCTCCATATGAACCCATGTAAATGGGTACGGAAAAAGAGTACGGAACGTTCCGTAGTTGGCAGGTACGGACGGTCCAGGCAAATTATTGACCAGACATGTTCCGTACTTTTTCCGTACTTTTCTCACAGTGCAGGCGGGACAAATTGTCTAGTGAAAGTACAATTTGCAGTAGGCGTCGGACAAAATGTGTCGCCAGACGGGATCAAAATTGTTTGAGCGTCGGATGGGCTTAAAATTGCATAAATCGTGGGACAAAAAAAAGTCCCATGACATTTAGTGTCGATGCACAATTTTAGACCCGTGTGCCATCGTGCGTAAAATTTTGCGTGAATTAACTTAAATTTTTGCATTTTCACGCGTTATATTCTGCAAATTGATCCTGGAAGCGGAAGAATAAGGGGAAAAAATTCGACTTACCTCCAAATTGAGTTTATCTTAATAGTATCCCTCATGATGGTTTGCATCATCACACCAAATTGTTTGATCCAATTCCTAACAGTTTAGGAGAAAATCCTCATAAAAATGGATACTTCTCAATTTGACCCCTTTTACGGTCTAAATTTATTGGAAAATGGAGGTAACTCGACAGAAGTCCACATAACTCTATTGCACTAAATAGCATACGGAGAAAACCCAACTTGTGTCTTTATGAATCTAGTGTAAAACGAATGACCTCAACTTGACTCCTCATCACTAGTTGGAAAAAAGAGGTAGCTCCAAAAATGTACAACAGAAATACAGACACCATGCAGACCTCAGCTCCACTTGAATTGTCTCCAGATTCCGCCTTGTTTGGGAGAACTAAGTAAACATGGTTCGGTAGTCCATTCCAACGTAAAGATTTAAATCTTAGAAACCGTCTACAGAGGGATACCACAATTTTGAAAATTTTCACAGTTATTTCATAGGCTTTTTTGACAAAAATGCAATTACATCATTCGTCTGATTGGATTAAGTTAACCCTGTAAATAGTTTTTTGTTTCTCCTGAAAAATGATGAAAATTGAGTTATCCCCTTCCTTTGCGTCATGGATCAATTCTACGTATGCATTTAATCGTGCAAGTTGCACGTTCAAAATTCTACCTAAACGTGAGAATGCTTTGTTACCTCATGTTGGATCCTTTCAGGAAACCTAAGGGAGGTATATTTAAGGGGGCTCATACATGTTAAAAGCACTTTGTAAAATTTTTTTTTTTATGTAGACTGATTAAGATTTTACAATTTCTGTGTTAAAACCCTTTTAGATAATTGAGTAAGCTTCATTTTGGCTTAAAGTAAAGTGATTTTGGACATCTTTTGGAGATTTAGTCGAAACGTTTAAAATTTTGGTTTTCGTAAGATTTTGTTCGCATACTTGCTCAGATCTGTGGGGAAAAAATCAGAGAGACTCATCGCCAGTAGTGTCATAGAATTGACTAGAATGGGCTTTATATCTACAATATTTTTCAAGAAAAAAAATAAAAACAATTTTTTGTATAAAAATTTTTTTGAAAAATTGTTAAAAAATTGTTTTTACTTTTTTACTTGAAAACTATTGCAGATATAAAGCCCATTGTAGTCAATTCTATGACATACTAGGGATGAGTCTCCCTGATTTTTTCCCCCCAGATCTGAGCAAATGTGCGAACAAAAACTTACGAGAACCAAAATTTTAAACGTTTCGACTAAATCTCCAAAAAAAGTCCAAAATCACTTTACTTTAAGCCAAAATGAAGCTTACTCAATTATCTAAAAGGGTTTTAACACAGAAATTGTAAAATCATAATCCGTCAACTTAAATTTTTTTTTTACAAAGTGCTTTTAACATTTATGAGCTCCCTTAAGGGGGCACGGCCTGGACGTAACCCCGTCGGGACGTTCCCCCCTGTTTTATTAGTATTTTTTACAATATATTTATTGAAATTTTTATTCGATGGATATTGTTATTAATCTTTTCGAGTTTACGAAATAATCACCCGTCGTCTAGGATAATTTTTTCATATGTTTTAATAATCAAAATATTCTCTTCTCTCCTCGAGCTGCATGCGGAATTTCTAATGGTGGTGCGGGGTAGAGCGCATGCGGACCGACGGATGGCTTCCCTAAAACTCTGACACTAAAGGGTCCAACCTGTCTTAACCAAACCTAACGGGCTAGCGACAGATCTTACGCTACTCGCAACAGATCTTACGTCGTGACAGATCTTACTCTTCTCGCGACAGATCTTAATCTATTCGTGATAGATCTCATCTCGCGATTGATTTTAGTCTACTTACAACAGATCTGAAGTCGTGACAGGTCCTTCTCTACTCGCGACAGATCTTAGTCGCGAGTGACAGATTTTACACTGCTCGCGCCAGCTCTTCGTCTACTTGTGACAGACCTTGCGAGAAACTCCGCATGTAGGTCATTAGAGAGAGGAAAATATGTTGACTATCTAAAAAATATTCTTAAATGTTTTTGGGACGACGGACGATTATTTCTGTTTATTCCAGAGTGAATTAAAATAATATCCACCCAATATATTTATTCATTAAATATATTGTAAGAAATACTATAAAACAGGGGGGAACGTCCCGACGGGGGTACGTCTCGACGTTTCCCCCTTAAGGGCAACGATATCTTTTCCCCATGTAAAAATAGATTTGATTGCCTGAATCCGAAGACACTGCTTTGCTTTGTCGTGAGGAGAATTTGGGTGATGCGACTGAAGTTTACAGAAACATCCATAACTCAGAAACCAAAATGAGGTGCGGCCCCACTTCAAGTGTATGCATTTATACAAAAGATGTGTTTGATATTTGCAGCCTGTCGATGGAGTCGGAGGTCGTGAAGGTCAAGGAGGAGCTCTCGGGTCCCGAAACAGCCAACATGAGTGCCAGCACTTCAAGTCCCAAGTGAGTGGAGTGAGTGCCACGCAGACAATGCCACAGGCTTACTCTTTCAAAAGCCTTTAAAGAATGTGATTGCAATGCAAAGAAAATTCTCTGTACACTGCCTAGGAAACAGGGCCATTGTGATTAAAACATTTTTGTTATTCGCAAGTTTGCGAAGAATTCTCTTAGTGAGTCTGCGTATGAACTTCTGTGTAGATTTAAAAGAAAAATAATAATTCATCAACTTGTGAAAAACAGATCCCCCCCCCCCCCAATTTTTATAATTGATTGATCGAATTAAATTCAGATAGTCGGCAATGTATTTTTGAAAAATGGCTTCCCATTCATTTAGTTGTCAAGTAGACAGAAAACATTTAAATCCCAAATTTCGTTTTTATGTTCGATTAAACTTATTTGAGCATGCAAAGGAATTAATACATCACTGCAATTAATTTTATCTGTAGCATAGGTTTGTAAGGTGCGCTTAAATTTGTTCGTCTTTTACAAAACCTTTTCTTTGTAGAACTTGCAAAGAAGTTTCTTTCATGAAGAATATTTCATTGCAGTTAAGACAACTTGTTTCCTTTGCGGCTTTGCAGAGAAAATTCTTCTTCACAAAGGATATTGTTTTCAAGGGTTTTTTGAGTGAAGTTTCCACTCAGCCAAGATCCGTTGTCAGAGTGTTTCATGTTCATGTGGAATGTGGATTGTGCATTGCGCAGGTTGTGGTGCCGAGACTGCGGCGAGGATGCCACGGAGGACTGCGAGGACTCGGGCCACTCCGTGTGCTCCCTCCGCCAGCTGCGTTTGGACGAAGGGCCCCCAAGGGGCAGCGTCTGGGCAAAGTGGCGACGTCGGCGCGCGAGGTGGTGAAGGCCTGCTGGACGCCAAAGGGGGTGCTGGAGGCCCAGCTGGAGCAGTGGCGGGGCAGGCTGGGCACGTCGAGGGTGCCAAGAACGAGCTGTGGGGGCGGGGGTCGAGGGTCGGGACCTGGAGGAGTCTTCCCGGAGGAGGGCCTGGAACAGCTGCTGCAGGACGCCACCACTCTCCTCCAGGCCAAGTGTCAGCTGCAGCTGCAGGTGGACTCAACCTGTTCTACGTGGAAGGCCGAGCTGCAGGTAGCGGCTCCAGGCTCCAGACGCAGTCTTCTTGGCCCACTGGTGCTGCAGTTGCACCAGGACAGGAGCCTCACCAAGGTAGGTTCGCGCAGCTGAAACCTAGCCCACAGACTGAGAGCATATGGGATGAGAGGAGCTCACATTCCAAAAAGTGTAGCATCACTCTGTGGACGGTTTCTGTGATTTAAAACAGTCCGTTGGGATGGACTACAGAAACATATTAACTTATATTAGTTCTGCCAAACAAGGCGGAATCTGGAGACAATTCTAGTGGAGCTGAGGTCTGCATAGTGTCTGTATTTCTGAGGTACATTTTTGGAGTTACCTCTTTTTTTCCAACTAGTGATGGGGAGATTATCTCCGAACGTACGAATTTCGCCTATGTTTGACCCTGACGGGAATTAAACCTGAGTCTGGGGTTAAAATAAATGTCTTTTTCGTCATCAGCACCCTTAAAAACATCAGAAACAATGCAAAAACTCGAATAAAAAGAATTTTCAAAAAATACCCCGCTGGATTCTCCGATTCGCTCGAAACTGGCACCATTGGTCTTTTCTCGTCGCCCCGATTCCAAAAATACCCCTTCATGCCCTCCTAGCTGCATCCGTTGCCGAGATCCTCTTCGACCCCATGAAGACCATGATGCACCTGCAGCAGCGCCCCCGGGGATCGGATCGGATTTGCTGCCACCGGGCGGTCTTAGGGTCACCCAAGGAGGCTGCATACCAAATTTGGTCAAGATCGGACCACGGGAAGTCCTCGGACGAACGGACGGACGCACAGCAGGGATCATACTATATGCCCGTCCCTCCGTGGGTCATTCCACGCCAAGTCGTCAAGGTTTTGAGGGACGTGTCGGCCGAACCCAGCGGTATTTTCAGGGATTGTTGGCCCTATGGGCCCATTGAAGGCCCGGTATTTTTTTCCCCCGGGAAAGTCGACAGGGGTCTGAGATATCTCAAACTTCTTTTTTGGTAAAAGAAATTACCTATCAACCTAAAAAATTTATATCTGGGAAAGTATTTTCCTTTCTAAAAACCGCTTATACCGTTGGAAAGAGGAAGAAAAACTGAAAAAGATGGGATTTTTTCCAAAAATTCTTGGAAACTTTTACTTTTTGCACTTTTATAGTGAAATTTTAAAAAATTATGCAACTTTTTTTTACCCTGATCAAAAATGGCGTTCTATGGCTCAAAATGTACCTTGATATGTCCTCTAAACAAAAAGATCAACGCCCCAATGTATTTTGTTTAGTTCCGGAGAACGAGCGGTTCTTGTGGACCACTGCAAGGCTATTTTCCCGCTGGAACGGCTCCCACGCCACGCTCGCCTTCTCTGTGTTAGCGGACGTGATCGCCAGGGTTCGGCGACCGTCAGGTAGGATTCCCACCTCATTTTCCAGCCCACTAAGGAAGCGCTGGACCTCAGCGCCTAAAGGGGCAAGCAAGGGAGAGACTGGGAAGCACGAAGGGTCACCTACACACAATTTTGGGGTTGGCCGCGACTGTGCTCCGCGGTGCGCGTCGCCGCCGGGTTGGCGGATTAACGAACTTGGTGGTGTGTTTGTTTCTAACCATCGCTTTTTGGGATTAGGTGTCAGGCAAAAAGGGTTCGGATACTTGCTGAATCTCGCCCTGCGTTTGTTCCTGGCAGTTTGGAGGTGAACTATGTAAGTTCTATAGAAAAGGCATATTTGCAATATTTGCAACGCACAAACGTGGTTGGCCCCATTTGACCACACTAGTTGGTGCGGTATAGACCACGTCCAAAAACCCAAGTGCGTATCCTAAAAACTTAAGGGCTGGCTCCCGGGGGCGGGAGAGTGAGAAAATGGGTGACTCGCAGCCTGCGTGGAACACCGATACCCCCCAGTACACCCCTAGGGGTCGTCACGGCTCGGCGTGCGCGGACAGCACCAAACGAGTATCGTATGTTTCCCATGAACGTTTCTTGAATGTAGATTTTCGTTTCTCTTCCCAACCCAACCAGCTTTTAGTCATCTTTAACTATTTTTGTCACTGCTGTCAAAATATTGCAAATATGCCTGTTTGTATTACCTATTTGTGCCAAGACTTGAGCCTTGACCCAAAGCCCTTATATCTGGAGGTCCGACATGAGCCCGGATTGAGCCCCGACCTGAGGCTCGAGTCCGGGCTGAGATCGGGGCCGTATCAAGCTCACGCCGGGGCTCAACTCGGTTTGGGGTAGGGATTCGGGTTTGGGGTTTCTGGTCACAGGGGTACAAGGATCGTGTCCTCTAAGCCAAACAAAATCAATTATAAAAAACACACCTTCAGTCAAAGTAAAATATTTGGTGTTCAGTTATTCCCCTGCCCATATTTTCTCCGCACTGACCCCTCCGAGAACACTGAAAAAGTGCATACTTGAAACATTTTGACAACAGTGAAAAAGCCAGTAAAAGATGACAAAAAAGTGGTTGGGTTGGAAAGGGAAAAAAAAATCAAACTACGGCAGAGAGCCCGTCGTGAATCTGAACCAGCAAATGAATCAGACTAAGCCACGCAAAGATATTCTCCATGTAGAACTTATATAGTTCACCCCCAAAATGCCAGGAACAAAAGCAGGGCGTGATTCAGCAAGTATCCGAACCTTTCTGCCTGACACCTAATCCAAACAAGCGATGGTCAGAAACAACACACACCACCAAGTTCGTTAGTTCCAGAGTCCGCCACCGGCGGCGACGCGCACCGCGGAGCACAGTCGCGGCCAAACCCCCCCAAAAAGTGTGTGTAGGGGACCCTTCGTGCTTCCCAGTCTCTCCCTTGCTTCCCTTCAGGCGCTGAGGTCCAGCGCTTCCTTAGTGGGCTGGAAAGTGAGGTGGGGAAACCTACCTGACGGTCGCCGAAACCCCGGCGATCACGTCCGCTAACACAGAGAAGGCGAGCGTGGCGTGGGAGCCGTTCCAGCGGGGAAAATAGCCTTGCAGTGGTCCACAAGAACCGCTCGTTCTCCGGAACTAAACAAAAAACATTGGGGGGTTGATCTTTTCGTTTTGAGGACATATCAAGGTACATTTTGAGCCATAGAACGCCATTTTTGATCAGGGTAAAAAAAGTTGCATAATTTTTAAATTTTACTATAAAAGTGCAAAAAGTAAAAATTTCCAAGAATTTTTGGAAAAAAACCCATCTTTTTCAGTTTTTCTTCCTCTTTCCAACGGTATAAGCGGTTTTGAGAAAGGAAAAAAACTTTCCGAGATATAAATTTTTTTAGGTTGATAGGTAATTTCTTTTACCAAAAATGAAGTTTGAGATATCTCAGACCCCTGTCGACTTTCCGGGGGAAAAAAATACCGGGCCTTCAATGGGCCCATAGGGCCAACAATCCCTGAAAATACCGCTGGGTTCGGCCGACACGTCCCTCAAAACCTTGACGACTTGGCGTGGAATGACCCACCAGACCCCGCCCCCCTTTTGTCAGCTTAACGTTACGCTACATTTCTCAGGTAACCATTTTTTTACACCTTATTTTCTCTTCGTACTTCTGTAATGATGCTATCATATTTTTAGTACATAGCGTAACGTTGCGCTGACTCGGACTCCCCGTCGCCCCACCGCAGCCTCACACAGAACCATCTGTCCTTACAGGAACGTCACCTAAAAGATGACTCCCTTTCGTTACGCAGTTTGAGGCACCTTTTGACCCCCCCCTCCAATATAACGTGTTACGCAGGCCTAGACCCCCCCTCAATTTCACCCACATACTACACTCAAAATCTCACAGCTTAACGCAATTAGTACCCTTATGACCGATTAAATTTCTAGAATGCGCTATTGAATTAAATGTCTTTAGGGGCGTTCCACGTCAAACCATCATGGTCCAAAACGTACTTGCTCAGATCCGGCCCCCAATTTTTTATCTGGTAGTGTACCACCCAAAGACCACTCTCATAAATTTTTTTGAAAAAAAATTCAGAACTTTGGCCGCAGTAATTTTTTGAAACTTCAAAAAAAAAATATAAATTTTAATTTCAGTTTTTTTTAAATTGTGTATCTAGGTGCTCAAATGGGTTGAAAACAATAAAGGGCAACATAAAATAGTGGAAAAAAAAATTGGGACCCCCAGCCCTGACCAGAAACAAAGTTTACGATTTAAAAAACCACGGTTTCTTGAATTCCCAAAATACGCCGTCTCACTTTTGGACCATATTGGCATCAAAGGACCCCAATGAGGAGTCGCCTGCATCAGACATACTTTGCAACCCACATAACTGGAATCAGTCATAACTGGATTCACTCATAAATTGCGACACACATAACTTTCGACAGACATAAAAATTGAAAATAAATAGGCTGTTATTACTGGAAACACACATACTTTTATTACACATAAAATGACTCAGACATAATTTTTATTTTTAAAATTTTTAAAATAAAAGTCACATGTTAGACAAATTACAAAGACATTCACAAAATATAACACTTGTCGTTCTTTGCAAAATAAAACCCGTCGCCCGTGGTGAAGACAACGGGCATGGCTCACATGATATACGCACACTTGGCCGAAATTACCCCACAATTACTAATTCCTCATTTTTCTACCAAATGTGCCAAAATAGACGTATTTTCAGCTGATTTAACACGCTTGACCGAAATATTTCGATGAACTGTGCACAATAGGCTCAGAGCTAGATGAAATTTACCCTCGTTTGACCGAAAATGAACCTGCTTCACACTTTCGTACTTAGAGTTTTTTTAAATTCCAATTACATGTCGATGAGACGTGCAAAACTACCAAGTTAATATCAGTGTTTAATTTTAAATGAAAAATGTTACTTTATGTTCATTGCGTCAGACATGTACAAAGCCAGGGACTATCCTGCTCGATTGACCAAAATTAAATCATTTAATAAAAAAATAGAGAATTTAAAAAAATGTATTTTAAAATATTGTATTTTATTAAATATTTTATTTTGAATGCGTGCTATTTTATCCAGCAGCACACCTAGAGTGCTTGGAGTGGCTCTTTAGGCACACCCCACCTGAAGTATCTCTGCGGGATGCTCATTTTCGCATACCACCGTGTGGGGTGTATGAGAAGTTTACTACACCGCTACACGGTGCGCGTAATCTCTCGTATACAATTTGGCATAGACTATCAACTGTGAAACCGTCCACCTTGCGGGGGCTGGTGCGGGTGTAGTGGGACAGAGCGCAGTGGCACCGCCTACAGTTTCAGAAGCAGCAAAACGTTAGGAAAAAACACCTACTTTTTTAGTCGCTTCATTGCCTCCAAAGAATTCACGTCCAAACTTGGAGGTAGTTCCAAACCGTGCAAACGGCGCCGCCCTTCTCGGGGAGAGTCGGCGGGTGGTGGCCGACGGCCGGCAGTTGGCAGCGAATGGCATGGCATGGGTACCCCATGGCATAGCTTTTACGCCGAGGCAAAGGGACTTGGCAAAAGTGTGACGGAAATCCAGTGCGACGGAGTGCGACAGCCGGGAAACCCAAGAAAGATGACCGCGCGCGGGGGAAGTCCGGCAGTAAGGCAGCGCGGCTTGCCGTCCGCCCGAGGACGCCCACGTGGCAAAGTCGCAAAGCTCGAGGGTCTCGACGTGGTCCTTGCTTTAGGCATCCACGCAGCTCGCCACGCCAAGGCCGTGTCGTGCACCTCGGTGTCGGAGAACCGATGGGACACGCACTAGGCACAGTGGCGTGCGCAGAAATTTAGAAAGGGGGGGTCAGGCCACGCTTTTTGCCTACTTACAGGGAAAAAGTGACGCAATTTGCCTACCTTCCAGGCGGCTGTCTAGTGGCCAAAGGGGGACCCCCCCCCCCTCCCCCCCCACGCCAGTGACTAGGCACCTCTCGAGGGACACCCCGCGGCCCGGCGGCGGGAGGGTCGCCGTCGTGGACTCCGAGGCCCGATAGCCAGGACACTCCACGTAGACTCGCTTTGGCCGCACTGCGTCCCGACTGTGCCCTTGCCTCCGAGATTTTGTTGCTCTGATGTGGTGGCCGTCGGAATCCTCTGTCACCCCAGCTTTGGCTTCATGCCTTACCGATATCCTTGCAGGCGTCCGGGACGCGGCACATCAAGGCGTCGTCGCCGAGGCCACGGTGTGGCTGTCGGCGGCGGCGTCGTCTGGTGCGCGCTCTACCATCCTCTTGGCAACCATGCCTCGACTTTTTTCTTTGGCTGAAACGGCCCATCGTATCAGGCATCCAAAACAGCTTTTGTGTCACTTGGACCACCGAGATAAAATCGGCTTTCTCCATCACTGGTGTAAAATTCATCAGGATTTCAATCAGGAAATTCCTGATTGGTCAATCAGGATATTTTCTGATTGGAAAATCCTGATGTATTTTCGCGCACCTCTGATTGATGTTTTCTGATTGGTACCAGTTCTGATTGACTATTTCTGATTGTGTTTTTTCCTGAGTGGACAGTTCTGATTGGTAAGACAACTTCAAACATCGGTAATATGACCGTGCCGGGGCACATTCAAAATTGATGATAACTTCTCTGGGGGGTCAAAACTGAGTCCGATCCAAATCTGAAGTCCGATTTTCGATAGCTCGTGATCAGGCCTCGATATGCTACTAAAGATGATCCGATGTGTATGATATTAAAATGGCCCTAGTCAAATCGGCTGAACATGTTACATACCAAATTTGAACCCGATACCGCAAATACTTTCCATTTTATAGGCATCTGTACTTTGACACCATCAAAATTTCCTGATTTTCTTTTCTGATTTCTGAGTGGCAATCAGCAATCAGAAAAGCAGTCAGAAATTTTCTGATTGCCAATCAGAAATCAAATATCAGGAAATTTCTGATTGGCACTCAGACATCAGAAATCAGGAATTTTCTGATGTCGGTACTCAATCAGGATTTTTTTCTGATTGACAATCAGAAATCAGAAAGAATTCCTGATTGACAATCAGAAATCAGAAAATCAATCAGGAAAATCCTGATTTCTGATTGGAAATCAGAAATTCAATCAGAAAATCCTGATGGCATTTACACCAGTGATACGGTCCATCGTATCCGGTGTACCGCGCATTCACGGCAAGTTTCCAAGGTCACGGTGCGCCTGGCGGCCGCGGCGGTGTCGTTGTGCACCTTGCCAAGACCTCGGCGTGAGCAGTTCTCGCGAGATGTGATAATTTCGTGTCCTCTATCTGGTTCTTCCAACCTAAAGTCGATTTTAACCGGTTTTTTCCTACCTTTATGTTTTTTGACCTTGCGGACAAGGTCAACCCCATCAAGATGAAATTTTCCCTCCTTCCACCGTTAAATTGCAAGTTTTACCCTAGAATGTAATTTCCGTGGACACTTTTGATGTCCTACGCTCCAGATTTGGGGTTTCCCCGCCTCTACTACAGCCCAAGGGAGTATGAGAAATCACTTTCGCTAAGTGCATTTTGTTCTACGCAAGTGAGGCTACGTTTTGACGTGTAGAACGTATCTCTCGGGTAAAATTTGCAGACACAAGATGATTCCGAAAATTGTCTTCCACAACTAAAATTCAAAAAGTCTAAAATCGGTTTTTTTGGGAGGGTTTTTTCTCCCTTTCTGTGCGACCGTTCTGAAACTTTTCTCATATTGTTGGTGCATTTTTTTACACATTTGCAAAGTGGCGGAGTAATGTGGCACCATTAGAACGGAAAATATAAAGTTAAATAAGCTCCAAAGCGGCAAAAAAAATTGGCCTAGCAAGCAATAAGTGTAATTTCCTTTCCCCCCCCATTGCTTGCAGACCATTAAAAATTTTGATTGCGAACCAATCCTTGTGTTTTTCCCTTTGGGACAATTTGTTCCAGAAAAATTTTTGGTTCCGGTGGCACTTCTGGTTTGGCTTGTACCCCCCATTTTATGCAATAATGTAATTTCCGTGGACTGTAATTTCCGTGGACAAAATGAGGTTTTCGTTGCGTTTCACGTGTTTTTGGCCTCCAAGGGGCCTCAGCTCTAAAGTATGTCGATATTTTTCTGTTTTAAACCTCTCTTATGGAGGGAATGCCATCCTGGAGGGAAATGGGCAGGGGGAAGGGGAAAGGCAAGCTAAGGAAAGTCGTGGCGTAGTTTAACACAACATCCATCTGGTTAAACCCCCGCAAGTCACAAAATGGACCCAAACGAGCAGCGACCCGACTTTTTGCAAGAGTCTAAGCTTTCGACTCCACTCATCAGATTGGTCAAACACTGTATTTTCTGGACAACCAAGCGGTTTTATGCTGCTTTGTTCGGCGCGGCCGGCATACTGCCTTGACAGTTGTGACTGCGAGTCAGTGAAACCGTTCAACGTTGATTTTTCAGATCGGAAAGCTTAACCGAAAGCTTAATGTCTTGCGAAAAATAGGCTCGCTGTATTTGGGATCTAGCTGACCATTTAAGACTTGCGGTGGACTTTAAACCCGACGGATATGTTAAGCAACATGACGTTTTTTCCCAAAACTTTCCGTTTGAATGCTAAGACCCCGTTTATCGAATAAATTGCAGCAATCTGTTCCTCAAACTCAAAAAACATCTTTCCGAATAGGTTAGTAAACGTGGGTGCCAGATATGCTTCCAGGAGGGCTAAATAGACCGCACCGCGAGCGGGCCGCTGTCTCGACCCGCCGATCAACTTTTCCTCAACTGATCGCACCCATTATTTAATATCTTCCGAACATAGACAGCAGAAATGATCAAGAGAACTTTCCTCCGTTGTCCACTCTAGGGCCCATCATTTGCCAAGTGTGAGAGGTACCCCTGGGAGGTAAAACTATGCAACCGTGGTCAGAAAAAAATGAATTCACAGTTGTTCCCGAGACAAGGGAATTTAAACCGGGAGAGGTGGACACCCGGGCCCCGTCCCGCTCAAAGAGGCTGTACTAGGGGGCCCCCCCCTTTGGGGGGGGGGGGGGGGGTGTACACCTCGTCACATACTGGTCACACTACGAGTGGGACCTTGTAGCCGCACGAGGTTCTTCTCCGCCAGTATAACGTGGCACCCTAGTAAGGACGGCCCTGTCCCGTTTTGGGAGTGCACGCGGGCATGTGTCGGGCCCGAAACGGCATACGATCAAATTGTGGTCTAGCCCGAAATTTTTTTGTGAGGTACGCAACATGGAACCAGAATGCACAGATGTGCAGGGAGCTGCCTAAACTGCTAGGCGTTGGCGTTCGTATCGCACCCATTCTAAGGGCCCCTTAAAATGTAATTTCCGTGGACAGTTTCTGAGGCTGTGTAATTTCCGTGGACGGCAAAAAAATTAAAATTGCGATATTTCCTATATTATTGGGGTGATAGCTCGCCCCCATGAATCCATGATCCCTAGTGATGTTCTTACAAGATAAATGCAAAAAAAACCCGGGTTTTAATTGAACTTTTTTTCAAAAAGTTTCAGGGCCCAAAAATTTAAACCCTTTCGCGAGAACTGCTCGCGTCGGCACGGGTCCCCCGGGACTGTGCTGCGGCGCTTGGGCACTCGCTCGCGGACTACGGCGCGTTGACGCGTACTCTAGGCGGGAACCGCGCTCTCCTTGACGGGCGGTGAAGGTTGGTAGTGACACAGCTGCACACAGCCGGACACGTCAAAACGAACACGTCCGGGGGTTGTGCTCGCTGTCGTTCCGCGTGCGCGGCGGGAGCTGTGCGCCCGGGGGACCAGCGTCGTTGCGGTCCTCGCTGCACGATGCTCGACGATCCGACCAAAGCCGTTCTCTAGGGGGACGCCGTCGTGGTCCCCGCTGCAGGGAGCCATGGCGTCGCCGTGCAGTAGGGTGGGCGAAAATCCCAGAATTAAAAGGCGTAAGGTTTGTTTGCAGTTGACCATATTAGAAAAGAGATCCCACAATGCTGGGGGCAGGTGACGTCACTTCCATCTCTTTGGAGGCTCCAAACTTTGGGGCTAATAAGAAAAATGGCACTTTTGGCCCTACAGGGACCAAACCATGCATCGCCCAGGATGCGGCTATCTCGCGATGTTGCGGAATATGTT